TAAGATTTTATATAAAATTATATACATTAAGAACTTTTTTTCTACACAAGGTATATAACCCTGTTTTCCTCAACATAGTCACTTTAGATTGTAAGTAAAAAAGTCAACACGAATTACCGGTTTTCCGGTACAGTGGCTTGTGCTTCCACAACGTGTGGGTGGAAGCAACCTGGACACATCCTTTTTCTCATGGCCAGAGATATCAGCAACATTGGGGAATGAACATGTTGCTTGGACATCCTCAATTTCCTTCAGATTATGTCACAAGAACTTGGTTTCCAGTTCATCTTCATCAGTAAAGCATATAACCGGCCCCATTTTGTAATATTGTATATTTTTCCAAGGAATCTAACTAGAACAAAATCTCCCTCTTTAGGTAAGCCTGGGGTTACATAAACCTCTTCCGTCTAACTTTCAGAGGCTTCCTCATTGAACCTATCGTCCAAGTCACTGGCAACTTTTAAAGGGAATCAATCCTTTAGCAATGCCACACGTGGGCTTCAAGGCTTCTTTATTTCCTTCTTGGTAGTGGCTTTCACTATTTCCTATTTCTCTGGGGCGTCCGTGAGAATTCTGGTTCTCTTGGATTTTCTACAAGTCTTTCTCTTTCTTGGCACAGCTTTTTTAAATGGTCTACTGTCCTTTGGTGCGACAGGGATGGCCCAGGTTGGAGTGATGTGATTCTGGGTGACAATGCCAGTGGAGGTGGAGGGTTTAGGATCAACAATAGGTGTCTTAACTGCTTCCATTGCAAGGGATCGGTCGGTGACGTCTGATGGCAAGAACTCATCATCTCCAAAGATATCATAGTAAAGAAAAATAGATTCTACTAATCCTGAATCCAGACAGGAAAAGCCTTTTCAATCAAATTGGAATATCATAAATGGTCATTGTCTTTCCCCTGGTCTCCATCATCTAAAGAATAGAAAATATTTATATATACTGCTTTGTTCATGATTTTTGAATGTTGGGGTTAGCTGGAATATGTTCCATTAATTCCATTGCAGATGTTCTAACCCTGAGTATCGATTTAACATTTAAATGCAGACCATGCAAAATACTACCTTAGGTAATAAATTTATTTTTCACAAACTGTAGCTACATTCTAGGGTCCGAAGTAGGCAGACACAACTGGCATTCATGCAGTGACACTATTACCATATAACATTTTCCTTGTGGTGAAAAAAAAATACTCTACATGTTAGAAATCATAAAAACCTTTCTCCTGTCCTCAGCTTTGTTTCCTTCTTCATGAAACAAATTTGGTGGATGGATGTTGTTATGGTCTCCTCACCTCTGCAATTATCATTTTGTATGGAAATTTCAATGTTTCAACTAACCCTGTGTTCCAACTAGCAATATGCTTTCGTCATTCATTGTAGGCGCAGCCTATAGGTATACTCAAGGTTCCTCTGACTCTTTTGATTATCCTGAAAATGTTTTTAAAGAGATATTACTTTTCATCCCAGGTAATGCAAAAGATAATATAAACAAGCCCAATTGAAAGTTAATATCATTAGGAAAAACAATTTTGAGCAAATGGTCAACAAACTTACAGAGGTTACAGAAAACATTTCGTCATTAATTGATGTAATAATAACAAACAAAATTGACATCATTCTCCATACAAACGTCATCCCATGTTGCTGATCATGAACTGATAATGGTGACGCTCATTATAAAGAAATAAAAATGACCACCAGTCATAAAAAGTTTTCAGGAATTAACCAAAAATTACTCTCAGTTACTAAGCCAACAAGCATTAGCCAAAGAATCAATTCTTTTAAAAAGAAATTGCACAAATAATGTATAAAAGCTGTTGAATGTCTTCTCGTAGGTGATTAAGGACAGTATAGATGTCATCGCTCACTTTGTTACAAAAACTGTTAGGCGGCCTTCTGCTCCATGGGTAAATGACATCAAGAAAGCCATAACAGATAGAAATAGCACTCGTAAACCTCTAAAAAGAAAAGAAGAAAAAAAGACAGATTCGACACGGCCCTTCAGGCTGATTATAACCAAAGAGAAGTGTCAAATCACTTATATAAGGAAATACATTAAATAATTAGAAAAAAATGCAAAAACATGGAATATAGTTAAAACACTTGTGCCAAACAAAACAAAATCACAAACATTAATCTAAATTCCAGAATTAGTGCGAATTACTTTAATGATTTCTTCGCTAAAACTGGAAACCTCAACATATGAACAAACAGTAACTTCCACATCTCTGCGAAATACAGGTAGGAGAGAGAGAAAGAGAGAGACACTGGCACAACTAAAAGGATAATTTGACAAAAAAATGCAGACAGCTATATAAGAACGAGCAGGTCCATACATTTTGACATTTTCATGACATTTGAGAAACAAGTCGACAATAACCATATAAAAATAAGCCATTTAAAAATAGAATCCCTGCTGTAACTAAGCTATCCGTTTTATAAACACTAGCTCTTAGTATAATTAATTATCATTCAAACATGGGGTACTGTGGAGTGTGGTCTTCAGTCCTGAGGCGAGGGCGACACACTCCAATTAAGGTACCCATTCACTTTAGATTTGGCAGCCCAAGTTTAGCAGATTTAATCGCACCAGACTAAATCGGTCAAATATCCGCCCGTCTGTGGACTCAGAAGGATAAAATCTTGCACATCATATCGTTCATTTTCATCTTCCATTCGGACGAAAGTTTTAACCCTTAGCAGATTTTATCGCTCAATCTGTGTGTGACAGCGGGTGAGGTCGGTGGAGCGCTCTTCCTGTTTTCTTTGGACTAAAGGCTATACACAATATGGTTTCGATAATTGGCAACATGGTTTTGATAGTATATCGTGGAAAACATCATCTGGCATTCTTAAATAGTTTCTAAAATCATCTGGGTTGTTTTCCTTTAGTTCATCCAAAAATGATATAGAGAAAATGCATCTCTCTTATTAAACCATTCTTTTGTCCAAAATGATTTCTTCCGTTTTTTTTATTTCATAGCTTGACATAACACCAATGCAGCAAAAGCTTTACGTTTATCATCCATTATTTAACACTTGTACATAAAAAAGTTATACCTTTAAAACAACACATTCTATTATTACGCAATAACCATACACTGAAGGGCGAGATCTGGACGAATAAGCTATATACTCCCCGCGTTTGTGGGCGGGCAAAGCGGCAGATTTAATCCGCCGCATTCCATATCTGTTGTGTATGAGCGATCAAATCTCCTCGTGAATGGGTACCTTTACCCTCGCGCTTGACTTTTTACGGCACCACGATTTCCCCAGCGCGGTGCTACTTTATTTATCACGGTGCTCAATTCCTTTTTTCTTTTCTCTTTTCTTTTAATCATTTTGATTACTGCCTTATATTCATTTTTATCAGTTCTGCTTTTGTTTAAAACATTTTTTAGGTCTCTTATTTTATCACCGAGGCATACTCTGCTATGTCATGTTTTTACATATTTTATTTTAATGCTTCTTTTATGGAGTTTGATACTTTTTTATCGTTTTATATAATTGTACTGTATTTTTTATTATTACTTGATTTTTTCTTTGTCCCGTGTTTTATTTTGATTTTATTGATATTCGTATATTACTTTTTTGTGTGTGTGTATTTTATTGCTATTGCTTTTATCGCGTATTTTGTTTGAAGTGTGTTGTAATTTTTATGGAAAATGGTTTGTCTTCTATGGCATCACGAGTCTGACAGCCCGCGACCCATGACAATTAACATTATCAATTGAAATTGTGTGTATTTTGGATTACCCTCCCCTCTGCTGAAGCATCGCCAAAGGTTATTATTGTAAAAAATAAATAAATAAATAAATAAATACAGGCCTTAATTGAGGAGACACTGCCTATATAAAAAAAAATCAATATATTGAGATATGTAGTAGATGTACATGAAAAGCTAAAAGAAAAAAAAATAGTGGAATACATGATTCGTCATGACGTCATGTGACGTAGGTGTGCAGTAGCCGAGCAGTAGGAGTGAACAATGCACAAGAACTTACTAAACATTAGGTCAACGCCGAATGAACATGTATTCGTGTGGATACATTTTCGCCGTTTAACTGCAAGCGGTTGGCTTCTGTAGATTAATTTTGATAACAGTGAATGTAGTTTTTCATTGCCTACAACGCTACGGTCCTTTTGTCTTTAACTGCCCTTAAGCCTCTTCTGCCTCAGAGGAGTATTCCAGTCTCCTCTTCCATGGATATCATCTAGCCTTAAGCTAGGTGTGAACCTTACAGTGCAACAAAATAATTTTTTAAAGATCACAGAACTTTACTGCATAGTAATAGTTGGTAATGTTTATATTAATGACCACAGTACCCCACGCATAAACAAACAAAGGTGGCTAAAAGTGTAAAGCAAATGCAACTACAATACTTGCATATTAATTCATAAAATAATTCAAGGTATTTAGCCAAAGCGGCTATTAACACTTCAACTATAGAGAGTCTTTTGTAAGCGCCATAAATGTTAATCCAGTATTAAAGTTTAATCCAGATCTCTAAGGCGCATGCATAATGGCACAATCTAGAATTAACTTTTAATTTACCTCCGGACCAGGATTTACTTTTGAGCTCAAATTTTAATCCTACACACCATAAATGGCAACAGTACAAAGTCACCAATGAGCCAGTTATGAGTATTGCCTGTCTCGCCCGTTCATCCTTTTCATTGAATTATGAAAATATTTAACGTTATCTTATTTTGTTGTTATAAATGTTTATAACATTATGGTAATTATAATGTTTATAATAAAAAATAACACCATCGATATTCAATGCACTAGTTTCTCCCGCCAATTCAAGGAAAGGTGAAAACAGGTAAGGTCTCAAGATCTACTAATTCACTCCTTTGTGGCTAAACACTAGCAGAGCCATCTATGTACAGAGACATATCACAAAAATATTTCCCCATTTTTTATTAATTTTCTCCGGCGGCGATGGGTTACTATTAATATTTTATTATATGTAATAACGAAACAAATTCTGACATATTTATGTCAGAGAAATATGTGAAAATTCATCGATGTATACTCTTATAAATTGTGGAATATTCCATACAAAGAAAAGGCAGGATTTCCAGAATGGAAAAACATTCCCAAATTATGCAATATATTAATCGAATAAAAAAGAAAGCTATTAATACCAACATGATTAAGTTTTAAATTGGAAGTAGAAACTCCCTGACTCTTTAAACTATAGTGACGAAAGCGCGTGGACATTTGGAATCATGATCCTCGCTTGCAACATCTTGAAAAAACTACTCTAACCAACAAACTCGAGAAAGAGCTCTCGGAGGAAACTCCCGCGAATGTAAATTGATGTTACGAGCATCTTATTTTTGTTTAACACTTTCATTTAAGTTATCTATAAATTGCATAGGCTATTTAAAGCCATTTATATAATGTATATGTATATTTATATGTACCGTAAATCACTTTTATATTAAAGAATACCATTGTGACAAATGGAATAAAATATTTTGAATTTGAGTATACATTAATCTGGTACCAAACCATAAAATGTATAGATTTTACATCAAATACTTACCTTGTGTTATGTCATCATATATGTTTTGGTTGACCATTCTTTCTAACACCATGACAGTCCTCCTGATGCCAGGCAGGTCCAGGGACTCATCCCCATAGCTGTGTGTGCGGAGAGCAGGCGGAGGAAGAGGTTCGGGCGCCACGCGGGGAGACTGCGAGACACATCAGTACGTATAATTTATGATAAGAACCATTAAAATTAAGAAGTACAACTGTATATAGTTAACTATATCTTTATTCTTATAAATGATACCCACAATCATGTTCACCATTAATGTGATAAAGTATAATAACAAAAACAATATGTGTCTCAATGATTTCTGCAATCATGTTGAATAATGTATGTCAATGTAATAAAATATAATGATCTTTAATGGTAGAAGAAAAAATGTCTTTCTTGACTGATAACAATAATCGCTTGATTTGATTATATGGAAGGTAATCTAAATCATATATAAATTTTAGCACTAGGGTTAACATCAGATTTAGAAGTATAAATTATTTACTTATGGCACAATCGCCACAGAAACTAAAATGTAATTATAACTATCATTTCAGACACGAATCACTACAATACAGAAAATAATCTTGGACGCATGCCATCAGTTTACACGGTATCCTTGGTGAAAGTTGTTTTTTACAGCTCTTTTTATTTGAACAACCTTATGAACGTGCGCTGTATGCATAAGGCACTTTAAGGTAGTAATGATAAGTGGGGACGGCCCGAATAAGTGAGGAAACCATAAACTCGAGATGCATTTTATACAGGTCACCAACTGAACAAAGATCATATTTAGAGTTCCATTTAGTTGGAGATATTAACTGTTATGGGAGAATAAAATGAACCGGTCGGAATTAACAGAAAACAGGAATTATAAATGTTTTAGCTCGAAAGCAAAATAATCAATCTACAGTATTTCTCAGCTGCGGAACGAAATATTTCAGAGAAGGCACACTAGTTTCATGGGATATGGAAACTACGTATTTTGATCAATTAAAATGTTTTCATCCCACTCCTCTAGTGTGTGAAAGATCATAGTGTTCCTCCAAGGCAAAAAAATACTTAATCAGTATGGCACTTAATGAATATTACTACCTGCTTCCCTTTTAGTGCTCCTCTTTCTCTGTCTCTTTCTCTTTCCCTTTCTCTTTCTTTTTCCTTCTCCTTCTCGCGTTCCTTTTCCTTTTCTAATATCTTTTCGTAGTCTTTGATGTAGGCATCAAATATTTCTCCAAGGCTTACATTAACTGAAAATGCAGTGCTGGGTGGTGGCTCCGTCTGCATGGCCAGATTCTGATAAAGTAGGAATGTGATTAGGCAGTAACTAAGCACTTATGCCTACGCTATATGACTCCAATATTACAGCAGTATCACATGTATCAGATATATGATAACATGTACCATTGTTCTGTTTCATTAGAAATAAATTCATTACCACGTGTATGTTACCTTAATATTTAGTCTGGTAGTTTGGGACACTCTTTCACTGAAGTTGAAAGGATTCGGCTGCGAGTCGAGCCTGGCCAGCTCTTCCTTGGAGACAATGCCGCCATATAGTTCCTCAAGCTCCCTGTTGGCCTCGTCAGTTGCGTTGTCTGGTGCAAGTCAGAAAGTAAATTAAGCTGATTAGTTACCGTAAATAAATGCCCATATGGATACATATATATATATATATATATATATATATATATATATATATATATATATATATATATATATATAAATATATGTATGTATGTATATATACATATATATATGCGTGTGTATATATATATATAATATATATATATAATATACATTTATATATATATATATATATATATATATATATATATATATATATATATATATATTCCTATACATGTATATACATAAATATAAATATACATATGTATATATGTATGAATATATATATATATATATATATGTGTGTGTGTGTGTGT